GATACCGGTCTGTATATATATATACGGACCGAGATCGGTCCGTATATGCCCTTAACAACAGCTTTTTATTTTTTTTTGTTATTTCATGCTTAACTCATTCTACTCTCGTTTTAAACCGTAACATTCCGAATGTTTGCAAGCCAAAGTGGTTAACCTAAATAAAAAAAATTAATTTTATTTGCTTGTGGCTTCGAAAGAGCATTACGTAACATTATCTCTAATAACATTTAACTTATACGTTCGTGGTTTTGCAATGATATTACTCCGTACCATCGTAAGATAATTTCAGGTAAACAATCGATGGTTTTGTGGTTCCAAGGGACTGTAGGGTTGATGTACATGCAATTGGTTTTCGCAGGAATGAATTTAGGACACGAGAAGATGGTAATGTCCTTAAATGAAAAGAATAAAAATGTGAACTAGGAGAAGTTTCTGGATTTTTTCGAGTATATTCGAACCAAAATCGGTCTGAAAAATGAAAACATGGAAGCTTCTGGATTCTTTGCATATATTCAGACCAAAATTGGTCCGTATATATATCATATTTAATTTAATTTAGCTTTAGGATAAAAAATCCCTCGGATTGCCTATATTCGGACCGATACCGGTCCGTATATATGGATTGAGGACACGAGGAGATTGTGATGTCCTTAAATGAAAAGAATGAAAATGCGCACTGTGAATTTTTTCCCAATATATTCGGATCGATTGGTCTGAATATATTATTAATGCGCCAAAAATTTCCCGAAAAGATTGAAAGTTTTTTATGAGCCAGAAATTTTTTCCCAATATATTCGGACCAAAATCGGTCCGAATATAAGCATTATCCCTTGTTTTCTAAATACATATACGGACCGAAATCGGTCCGTAATTAATTTATGCACCAATTTTTTACCGTAAATTTGAATTTTTTGATTCTGCGCTAATTCATTTATATTCAGACCGATTTCGGTCTGAATATTATTAATGCGCCAAAAATTTTCCCGAAAAAATTCAAAGTTTTGAGTGCGGCGCGCCAATAAGGATTATACGGACTGAAAACGGTCCGTATAAGCCTTATATATATCATCACTTCTCTTCCTTTTCCTCATTTTCTCTTCTTCCTCTCTTTCTTTTCCTTTCATCCTCTCTTTCTTTTCTGTTCTGCCTTCCGTCTCCTTCTTCTTTTTCTTACTTTTTTTTTTCTACTTCCTTTTATTTGTCATTTCCTCTCTTCTTTTCTCTCTTCCCTTTTCTTTCTCATTTC